AGAACTTTAGCATTTCCAAATGCATTTCAGAAAATTATCTCAATAAATTGACTCCTTGTTTTTCAAGTTATGTAAGTAAAATGAATGAGTCACAGACACAAGGCTATAATGTTTGAGAAGAACAACATGCTCAAACCCCTCATTTTATACTTGAGAAGTGTGGGGCTGAGGGAGGTTAAGTGGGAGAAGAAGTTGTGGACATATTATAAATAGAACCCTAAAATTTATGGTCAAGCTATTTGGAGAAAGTGGAACAGACTGCCCAGTTCTATTTTGACTCAAAGAAGGTCCTCTTAACTTTAAGTACCCGTGGGTCCCACATCTATTTTTACTCTTGGCAGCCACAAAACCTTGTTGAATCTTTGAAAGAAATGAGTTTGCCAATGGATTAAATTGCCTAATTTGGCAATCTTGGGGGGAAGAGTGAGAACTACCATGTATAAAGGGACCGCTCAAAATTCTCACTGTGAGACTTTATGAGTTTCTGACCTAGTTTGAGATGCTCCAGAAATGAAATGCATCTAACATTCCCTCAGAAATACCCTTTCCTGGCAGATCATGTTGAGGTGTCCTTTATTTTTTTTAAGTCCAAATATATTTGAATCCCCTGATTTCTCCAGATAATTGTCCTGTGTTTTTACATGTCTAGGATAAAAAAATTAAGAGTACATTAGACATTCTCAGCTAATAGATAAAGACATGTGTTGATACCTGTCACTATTAAATCCTTTCTCTGCAAAACATTTCTGCTTTGTATCTTATGCTCACTATGTATGTCAAGTCAAAAACTATATCCAGCAGACTTTGAAACATAGAGCTAAGAATGAAGGAAGACTTTTAAGAGAAACAAGCCGATGATATGCATGTTTCAATCACTGATAATTATACAGAGTGTTAAACTGAGATTATTGATAGGTTTAGAGTGATGACATAGTCTACTGAATTTCTTCTCTTTCTGGAGTCTTTTAGAATGAAATATATATTAAAAGTTTTGTTTTCCATTGCTGCCATAACAAATTGACACAAACACAATGGCTTAAACCAACACAAAGTTATTATCTTATGGTTGCAGAGGTTATAAGTCTTACACAGGCTCTGCTGGAATAAAATCAGGTTGTCAGTAGGACTGTATTCCTCCTCAAGGCTCTAGGGGAGTTGCAGATTTTTGCCTTTTACAGCTTTGTAAGGACCACCCACATTCCTTGGCTTGTGGACCCTTTCTCCATCTTCAGGGTCAACAACCATGGCGACAGTTCTCACATGCATCCCCTGACCTCCTTGGTAGGTTCTTTCTTCTCTCTGTCTTCTTCTGTCTCCCTCTTCCATTTTTAAGCATCTTGTTGATTACATTGGGCTACCCTTTAATCCAGGATAATCTCCCCTTGGTCTGTAACTTTATCCCACCTTTAAAGTCCCTTTTTTCCCATGTAAGGTGATGCAGTCATAGGCTCTTTGGATTAGGATGTGGGCACCTGCGCGTGCCATTCTGATACCACAAAGGTATTCAGTTGAATTCTTTACCTCTAAATCTTAACTAAATCATCCAAGTTCTTGGCAAATCCATTGTAACATCCACTGGCTTGTATATTAGCCAACTTCCTTTAAATTAGTGTGCAATGAAGGAACAATTGACTTTAAAATGTAAGCTTACTGTTAAATGATAGTTTTAAGGTTAGCCCAGGTTTGTGGAAAAGGACCAAAAAACTCACAATTCCAAAGAATGTCTTATATAGAACAACCACCAACTCCACACCCCAAAGAAAGAGGATGTGAATATTTGTTTATTTCCCACAGACAAATTAGGAAATCCATGTACATTAATCCACTTTGGAGTGTGACTTATTTGCATGGCTTGGCTCTAACCATGGGTAGTGAATTATATAATTATTACAAAGTCCTCACCTTTGATTCTGTGTAAAATGAATCTGTACAGAAAGTAGATATTTTTTCCAAGCTAGTTACACTATCTTGATATACATCATCTAATTATCTATCTGCTTGGTATTTTGACAAATCACCTCATATATACCAAAGCAAGGGTCAGCAAACCGTGGTCCATAGGCCAATCTGACCTATAAATAAGAATGGTTTTTACATTGTTCAATGTTTGAAAAACCATCAAAAAAGAATAACAATTGTCTTTCTCTGACTGACTTAATTTCACTTAACATAATATGCTCCATCCATGTCACTGCAAATAGCAAGATTTCATTCTTTTTTATGGCTCAGTAATATTCCATCACACACACACACACACACACACACACACACACACATTTTCTTTCTCTATTCATCAGTTGAGAGATTCTTGGGGTCCTTCCCTACAGCTAAATAGTTTGGCTATTGTAGATAATGCTGCCTTAAACTTTGGGGTGATTTCACTCATATGTGTAATATAAAAAAAAAACAAATGAGCAAAGGGGAAAAAAGAGAGAGGTTGGGGGGCAAACCAAGAAACAGACTCTTAACTACAAAGAACAAACTGATGGGACCAGAGGGGAGGTAGTGGGAGGATGGGGGAAACAGGTGATGGGGATGAAGGAGTACACCTGTCGTGATGAGCACAGAGTGATGTATGGAAGTGTCGAATCACTATATTGTACACCTGAAACTAATATTACACTGTATGTTAGCTAACTGGAATTTAAAATAAAAACTTGAAGAGAGAGAAAAGAAAAGAGTAATATTTTGTTTCTCAGAAAAATGGCATGAAATGCAAACCTCTGTAAGTGAATTGTTGCTGGAACATAACCGTCCCCACTCCGTGGCCGCTTTTGTACTCCAGCAACAGATTTGGACAGCTGCAGCAGAAACCGCAGGACTAGTAAACCCTAAAATATGTCTATCTGGCCCTTTACAGATGAAGTGTGTTTATTAACACAAAACTGACATTTTTGGGGTGTAGGTATGTGAAATGCGTGGGAGGTGAGGAGGGGATTTATTTACATGCATTGCTAATGTTAATACACCACTAACATGCAATCGCACCCAGCTTTTGGGATCAGAACCACTCAAAAAGAACCTAATTAAGAAAAAAAAATACTTTAAGAGCCACAACAAATAAACATGGGATTCAGTTATGAAACTTTCAGTAAGTATACGTAGGTGAGCTGGATAGACTCTGGGTTTTTGAATCCAGAAGTTACTTATCTTCTGGTCATTGTCAGTATTTGGCAAAGAGGTAACCTATTTCCAAGAGAATCTGTAGCATCAGCTCCTCAAGGGGGACAGGTGGTGGGGGAGGGAGCTTTCAAACGAAGTATCAGAATAATGAAATGTTTCCTGGAAGCAGCTGTATCCGATTTCAGCAGTCAAAGCTACATAAATCCAAGCAAATAGGCAGATCTGAGTTGTGTATTTCCTCTCACAGAAGATTATTTCAAACAGTGACATAAACACTGTTGCAAATGGTTACAGTCAGGTTTGGCTTTTACATTGAAATGGATACTGCACATTTTTAAACCTGAGAGTTTAAATTGAACACCCCAACATCAGAAAGCTTGCCTACATATTTCATTTGATGCTGCTTTTCCTCCAGGTAATGGAGTAAGGAGGGAAACGCTCTACATACCCACCCGTGCCTGGTAAATCCTGTGCACAGAATATGATTTCCAGCCTGACCAAGCAGCTCTGATGCTCACAGGGAAGCCCACAAAGGGCAGCACCAGTTTTGGCTACAGGCAAATTCCTTAAACATTTACTGATCACCTGCACTAATAAGCATCATTTTGAAAACAGATTTGGCAAAATAATTGTACAATGCATAACCATAGGTGACATTTAAAATGTGCATCAGAGGGCGCCTGGGTGGCTCAGTCGGTTAAGCGACTGCCTTCGGCTCAGGTCATGATCCTGGAGTCCCTGGATCAAGTCCCGCATCAGGCTCCCTGCTCGGCAGGGAGTCTGCTTCTCCCTCTGACCCTCCCCCCTCTCATGCTCTCTCTATCTCATTCTCTCTCTCAAATAAATAAATAAAATCTTTAAAAAAATAATAATAAAAAATAATGAAAAATAAAATGTGCATCAGGGACATTTATACATGTATTGATATCATCCCTTTCAACCCCTTGGTGGAGGTGTTTTCAGGTCCAGTTGACAGACTGGCAAGTGGAGGTTCCGACAGTTCCTACCAGGCAGAGCCACACACAACCGCATTCCTGAGGCATCCCAATCCAAGGATCCTTCTGCCATTGGCCAAAACTGACCCTGCCACTGTATTACCAACAGTGGGGAGCTTTACCACCTGGGAAGACTTTCACTTCTTAATGACACAGGTTTTCAGTAGGAAGTAAATTACTCACTCTTTTTCTGACAACTAAAGCACACAGTGTAAAGTAGAATGGGGAGCTTAAACACCTTCGCCAGAGATGGTTTGTGTCTGATTTTGAGAGATTTAATTGTGTTTAATATACTGTTGGCCCCAAACATAATTTTATTTCATTTCAAATCACTTTGACAGTGCTCGTCACCAATCCCCTACATGCTGCTCTTCTGCTTCCTGTGGGTAGGAAAGGCCCATGCTGTGAATTCTGTGGATGGGACCCTAGAAATATGGGATATATGCTATCCAGCATGATAAACAGTGTCTTTGAAGGCACTTCAGGTGAAACAGAATCATAAAGTGTTCAAAGAGTAAAAAGCAGAATGTTACCGTTTGCCTATTTCTTGTCCTTTTATAATTCATTATGATTGAGGTCCTGATGAAAAGAAATAAGTGATCCAAAGAATATCTTCTCATTTATCCACCATTAATAAAGAAGAATAAAAATGTCAAGGGTCGGTGAAAGCTTTCATTCCATCAAGGGTAAATATAGCAGTGATTATGTGGACACACATGAAATTGCCTGAGTCATTTCAAGGTTTCAATGCAGCTCATCAATGACCTCTGTCTTCAGATCTCAAAATAACGACTGTCAGTAGTCAATTTTAAAAGTGGGTTTGCTATAGGACAGTTGCTCTGTTGGTTTACAAGGGAGATTTTTTCTGGTTCTCTTTTCCAGGCTGACAGGCATGAACCTTCCTTCTCCTGTTATAAGTAGCAAGAATTGGTTACGACTCCATTTTACATCTGACAGTAACCATCGACGCAAAGGATTTAATGCACAGTTTCAAGGTAAGAATGCCCCGTTTTATGTATAAATAAAAAAAAAGTAGAGGAAGATATTTTGGTCTTTTCACCCTCAAATTTTAGGAGTCTCTTGCTAGAGATAGAGCAAGAGATATAAGCTTGAAAATACCTTCTAGCTCTTTTTTGAACAATTAACTCTGGAAGTTTTACAGATACTCCTAGCAACTTCTCAGTAAAGCTTTATTACTTTGGCTGTATGTAATGTATTTTATTGTTTTGTTTGAATTATTACTGAGTTTTTATCAATAAGTCAGTAAATATATACTAGCATTAATTTTAATTCATATACACCTAACCAGAAAATATCCATGGTTGTCTGGTTGTTTTCTTTATCCACTCATTAAAAATGGCACAGCGTATAGGTTGCATGAATATGCATACGTACATCATCCTATCACTTTCAGTTGTAAAATATATTCACAGTACATAAATCCAGCTACCTGCTTTAATAATTGACAGGTAAGTGAACATCAAAAGAAAAACACAAGATGTTTTTTTGTAGCTGAGTGAAACAAAGTCTGTAGTCACTAGTATGAAGGTTTGATTTTGAAGCTTCCTCTTTGTATCGAATTTCTAGTGTTTATACCTGAATAGTATTGTATCACTGCCCATATGTTTGTGGGGATTCTTTAAAGATTTATTTATTTATTTATTTGAGGGAGAGAGAAAAAGAGAGAGAGCAGGGGGAGGAACAGAAGAAGAGAGACAATCCTGAAGCAGATCCCTGCTGAGAGCTGAGCCCCACAGTAGGGCTCAGGGGTTCATTCCCAGGACCCTGAGATCATGACCTGAGCCAAAATCAAGAGTTGGGACGCTTAACTTACTGAGCCACTCAGGTACCCCGCCCATATGGTTTTAATAATTAATAATCCTTATCAATACCATAAAAAAAGATTCAATTTATTAGGAGATCCATTGAAAACAATTCCACTTTGAATTTGCAAACAACAATATGACTTTGTCAGAAAGCAAGATGCACTCCCAAGCAAATTTCTCATGCTTCCCCCAAATCATGACTGTGAGAATATCAAGAGTTCAGTTAAGACCCCATTCCCTAAGCACTTGCCACATGCAAACCAGGACCCCAAAACGAGGAAATTATAATAACCCCCCAGAATCTAGTAGTTCAGAAAGACATTTTGCAAACAACCCCCATGAAAGGCAGAATGAAAACCAAAATCATGCTAGCCACTCCGGGAGATTTTAGTAATATTCTTTTTTTTTTTTTTTTT